TATTTAATTTAAATAAATATTTATTAAATAATAACAAAAATAAAAAGTGCCATTATTTTTGTCCCATACTGTATATAGTTTAAGGCTTGCATTTAAATTTATATATATTACTCTAATAGTATATGCATACTTGCTTTGTATACCTTAAATGAATAAAGAAGTGATGAGCATTTAAAGATTTAATATACGTAATTTTTTTAATAGAAATCGATTCAGATATACCATATATGATCATTACGTATAACAAGTATTCTTCAACAATCATCCATTGTTTTCGGGCAATTACTGAAAAAGAAGAGGATGTGTGCGTTGCACAACATACCTATAAAATCATGTGAATTATTGTGGTGCATATACATCATTCTTATCATCCTCTTTTTTTGAATACTCTTTGACTCTTTCTTTGACCTATTACCGTAAATTAAAGTATCCACTGCTTCGATGGAATTATCGTTTCCACACGAAATTTATGAGCAAATTTTTAAGAATTTTAATAAACGTGGAGATATCTTTTCCTCTTTATTGGTGAATCGCAAGTGGTGCCGATTAGCCGTGCCCTTATTGTGGAGGTCGCCATTTTCTAAAGAATTCCATTATGCCGCCAATACCCACAAAATAATCAGAACTTATCTGTCATGCCTTGATGAAGAGGCACGGAAGTTGCTTTCCGAAGATGGAATTGACATGTCGAACTCACCATCCGGAACACTTTTTGATTACGTCGAGTTCCTACAACAACTTGATATTTCCGAACTAAAGAGAAATATTAACAAATGTCACACGAACTTCAAACGAATACACGATGACGCAATTACATACAAACTACAACTTATGTATACCGAACTGTGTAAGCTGTTTATGAAAAAATGCAAATCAATTTATGCTCTCTATGAAGTATACGATGATCAGGGATGGTTCGTAGATCCGATTCCAATAAGATCGTTTTCCATTCCTCTTCCAAGTCTCCCCGGAGCAGATCGATGTTTGAAGTATCTTAAAAGATTTGATAGCGCAGAAAATTCCAAAAATGGAATCGTCTATCGGGAACTGTCACAAATGTGCAATGAGATTGTCGCACTGTCAGTTAAAATAGGATCATACAATGAAGGAATTACATTACCTGAACTCGTCGCCTCACAAAAACATTTAAAAAGCTTTCATCTATCTTCTTTTAACTCCTCGAATATTTGCGTATGGTTTAACGACGATTGCTTTGGGCCAACATTTAGATCCTTAGCCAGTCAAAAGAATACACTGACAGAGGTGCTAATCAGTGGAATAACATTTCGCGATATAGATTTAAGTTGCTTGGACACACTTGGGGAGTGCAAAGAACTTCGATCTTTTGGGCTCCTTAGATGTGAAGCTTTGAGCGAAAGGCATCTTGAAGTGTTAAGTAATTCTTTTCAAAATCTAGAATCATTTACGTTCATCGCTGGACAGGAGATCATCCCCGCGAGAGGTATCACAGGTTTTCTCAAAACAGCTAACGCCAATATGAAGAAAATATCTTTTGATGTGGTGGTTCCGGGTGCAATCAAAGTTATCACGGATCATTGCGAAAATGTAGAGTCATTATCCGTGTGTACACGTCAACCCGAGGAAATCTTCATGATCTTTCAAAATTGCCGTCACTTAAAACTTCTCTTGTATGATTTAGAAATAGGGTTTATATCGGATGAACTATTAACCAAGTTATCAGAATATGTGCCGAAATCCCTCAAGACTTTGTCATTTTACGTGAACCTTGTATATCCTTGGACATTTTCATCAGAGTCTCTGAAAATATTTTTGGATGGGTGCAAAAAGTCGGCACAGCTTGAATTTTTTAGTCTTGAAAGTGCCAACAGTCCGTACTTCTGGTATGAGGAGGAGGAGGGCATGGATAGAATTGCGGAAGAGCATTTCAGGGTTTTGCAAGAAAGCGGGATCAAGAATTACAAATTGAGTGGATATAATATCGATTTGGGAAGTCAGAATATGCACTTTTGCCTTCTTTGAGATACCCATTTACCTCAATGTAGTTCTTTGATCTGCGTGTGTTTCCCATCTCTTTAAATAGAAAGTTTTCCTGAGAAATAGAAGAGTAAGTCTGTAATTTGGATGCATTTGACATGCAACACTAAAGACTTGCTGGGAAGCTTATCAATTTCAGCATTCGAAGTTTTGTAAATATAGGATGAACTCACTTTGTATAATAAGGAAAGGTCAATGAATTGGAACACTATACATTGTTATGCAACGTTTTTCATCTTAAAGACAATTTCACTTAAAGGACACTTATTGAACAATTTTATTTAAAGGACACAGTATTAACGATGAAATAAATTTGATTTGTAACATATTAATTGATCTTTTGGAATTAATTTAAATTATTTCATTTCATATTACATTTTCGATTATTATTATTATTCTAATCTTGCTACTGATCGTTCCAATTTTGTTTTTTAAAATCTCTACCATTGCAATAACTTAAAAGCGGTTCCGACTGTATGTGTTCATTATGGCATGATTGTAGAAGGCTTATCGGAAATTCATTTAGGAAAATTCGGAACTTGAGTAATAATTATTTTCTGATAATATAATATCTTACACATAAATATCCCGCAACAATGCTCATCAATCCTCCGCACCTCAATACAAATCCAATTGAGTCAGTTTCTACGTCTCCCCCATCAGTTTTGTTTTCATTTACAGGTTCCAATATAGCAAACACTATGCTGCTAAAGAATGTTGCAAAAAATTGTGGAAATACTACAAACATATTATGAATTCCTAATATGATGCCAGAACTGACCGAACTAACCGAAATATCATCATTTGCATCAGAGAGTAACACATTATGATCATCTTCACCCTCTAGTCCATTATATTCCCTTCCTTCCACTTCTCTATCTGCGCGCGACTCAACTAAGCTATAAATTTGCCCATCGTCTCCTTCATCCCTGAAAACAACGGCATCTTTCCCTTTTATATATTCACCCAGAAGAGAAAATGGCGCCCACATTGATATTGACCATGATATACCTATAAGACTAATGATCAGGTCGGCTTGAAATACATTCCCTACCCACCAAGTTGATATCATCGCAAATGCAAATATAAAATGCGATATTGTCCATAATCTTGATAATGTTAAAAAAGGTAATGGTAATCTTAAGAGTTGTTTCATAGAAAATTCTCGTGGTGGCGTGCCAATGTCTGATGGGGCAACTAACAAGGGTAAAACAAAAGATGCGAACAAGCTTACTAATGAAAATAACAATAGTGAAAATGAACCCGCTTGTGTGCCATCTAAGTTAGAACCTGTGCCATTCTGTGAATTACGCACGAATATTTCGGATACCCATGTGGTGGAATAAAATAAAAATGGAAACCATCCCATCCACGAAGCAAACTGCACATAACAAACATTTTTTACTTGTCTTGGAAGCTTACGAAATAATCTGGTGATTGAGTAAAAAGTGTCTATGGTGGATTCCCACGCCGATCTCGTACTTTTTATGAGAAAAAAAAAAGTCATGCGTCAGACATCGTTGGGCCCTGCAATTTAAGACAAAAATCGAGAAACAACAAACCTTCCTCCTCCACCAACCAAGGGTCTCTCTGGTACAGCCCAACAGGTTATCACATTACAAATAACCAATACAATACACGCAAGAATGCATAAAACCTTTAACTGAGTGTTTCCTAGAAAAGGGAAATAATCCTTCAAATTTACAAATCCCCTATTAACAAACAAGCATCCTTTACTAAATTTTCGAAATTTTTCAAATACGAAATGATTTTTTGCGCGAACAATTATACTTACATGAAATAGCCGACCACACTTCCAACACCCACCATTCTGCCGGCCCACGCGTTGCCTGCCTCTTGTTGTAGTTTTGGTAGACTGTCGGTGATCAAGGCACGACAAGCAGCCATCACTTAAATTCATTGATGCATGATTGATGTTGTTAGACGTATGACATAAAATTGCTTGTGCCAACAAAAAAAAAAATTTTTTTTTCGTACCAGCATTAATTGAAAAATCTAATGCATAGAAAGAGAACACGGCAAACCACATTGACATGTATTTACTCTAAAATTTATGAGTTGGTTAAGTTGAGTAAACTTATTTAGACAAAAAGAGATAGACAGATGATTTACCGAGTCCGTTCCGGTGCCAAAAAATAACCCTACAATTTCCTTTGTCCATCCTATAGATATGAAAGTTGCCATAACCATTATACTGCCCCCCACCAAATAAGGTCGCCTCCGCCCATATTTACTTGTGGATCTATCGGAAAACGCGCCAACTATAGGTTGCATAACGAGACCTTCTCGAGAGGAGATAAGAACACGTAAATTATCAAGACGTTAAAAGGATCGTAGTTCAATGGTGTCAGCTTATATACCTGATAATGGTCCAGCCAGCCATACAAGAGACATAAGCGATTTTGATAACCCTAGATCTAGTAAATATGGCGTTCCTAAAGGAGGAAGGCGGTTAATCTCTTTATAAAAATAAGGGTCGTTATTTTACATAACAGTATTATTCTGACCATATGCCAATTCCACGGACCCTATAAATGAAAATGAAATAATGAGTAAATAAGTCTTTGATTGATTCATAAAAATAATTTTACCTACATGAAAACTGTAAGCTATATGCAAAGCAAAATTTTGATCCCCGCGTTAAAATCCATTAGTAATTAAAAAGTAGGATTAGTTTTGATATTCTGTATTAATCAATTCAGGTAACATAGGTAAACACCAGCGATAACGTTTAAATAATAATTTAAATAAGGTAGGCATACATGACATTACATCACGAAGAATTCAAAGTAAATCATAATGGAAATAAATGACCCACCCGGCCAGACATTGAGTCAATAAAATCATTTTTATGGTTTTATTTCCTCCTCTTACTTCATAGGAATTTGTTGAATGGTCACTTAATCGGGAAATGTTATTTTCTGAACGATGCCCTTCCTGTCTGCGTTCGGCTGAATCGCTACTATCTCGAGAATGAGAAAGGCATACTTCTAGTGCATCCTTTTCCCCCTCTTGATCTACGATGCCGTCCGGCGAGATGTCCACTGTTGAAGACGAGGATCTCAGCGAATCCTCCATTTTTTTCTTTTTGTTTATTCTGTACATTAAATTAAATTAAAATCTATCTACTATTTAATGGTGTGAAATCAAAACGTCATCAAAAATTACTGCCTACATAAATACAGGAAAGACCCATTCAAGGTTAACGAGAGGCTTATAATACCCAACCAGTATGGTCGCGATCTGCGATTTATTTATGTTTTATATTTTCGATAAGCAAGATAATGAATTTAACTTTTTTGTAATTAATTGGTTAGACCATCTAAGATTATTAGTTACGAGACATTTCTCCCTTGAAATTGAATCCAATATGAATAAATAAAGTTAGTCTTTACTATGCATATCGTATCCCATATAGGTTCAAGT